TATCTTTTTTATATATATAGGACTACCTTTTTTATATATAAACTCTAACAAGTTTATATATATATATATATATATATATATATATATATATATATATATATAATCATACTTTATGACTTTATTTATAAGTTTGTATTTCTCCAAAAATATTATTTCTATAAATAATAATTTCCTTATTAGTGAAATATTATTTTCATAAAATAATAATTCTCCAATTAACTATTGATTATATTTATTAATAATCAAATTAATAATAAATTATAAATTAGCGGTAACTTGATAAATGTGTGACCCTATATGATCATATGTTATTAACAATACCATTCAATAATGATTCTTGAACATATAGATCCAAGAAGTAGATACCTCATAAGATTCATGAAAAGGTAACATGTTCTAGGCTTCAAGAAACGAGGGAAAAGATTTAGTATTAATGACGACTTCGTTAATACTATGGTATGATGAGGGAAGCTAACTAAGAATCTGCGTAACAAGTTCTATGTTAGTAATGGGTGATTCGGCATCTTTGAGCTCACATGTAAGATTTTTAAGAGTGTGGAATCGAGAACCATTAACATTAAGTTTAAAACTGAATTGGTTATAACATTCATGAGAGAGCATACTAGACTTAACATTGATGGACTTGTAGTAGAGGATGGTGATGATGAAGACATAATTATATAAAGCGAAAGCAAACGAGGGTTACCGCATGAGAAGATCCAACAGATGTAATGCAAACCCGATAGAAGATTAGCAGCAACACAGTGACTGATCTAGATTTTGGGACAATCGCACAAGGGGAGACAACAAGGCAGTAACAAAATGATGGCAAGAGATTACACAAAGCAAAGATGGATCACACGAAGAAAAAAAAAATGACCGGGACTTTTTCTTGTATGGCTATATGTAAGGCCTATGCGTTGATTATAGAGGGCCATGTGCAAATACTAAAAATCGGCCATATTTTTTTTTACGTATAACTAACCTTTTAATTTTTGACTTCCATATAATTACTTAGAAGGATGACATAATTTCTGAAATAAAATAACAATAATCATTCAAATACAAACTTCTAAAGTAGAATTTTATAAATCTATTTGACTAAATCAAAACTTAAAATTCAGAAGGAAAAATACCAATAACACTTTCTATTAGAAAAAAGTACAGACAGATATGAGGACGATTAGCAAAGAAAAAAAAAACAAAATTGATTTACTGCTTTCTCCCTTGCGTGTTGATGTGTCGATGTGTCGAGAACTAAATAACAATAATCGTATTAACTTAATTGGCTATAAGGTATTAATTTAAAATAAATAAGGGTACTAATTTAATGAACGATTAATGCCATGTGTTAGACCACAAGGAGTGGGCAACGTCCTTACGCGTTATTCTGAGGTGGCAATCAAAAAACGACGTTATAACGTCTTGTACACCGCCATCCTCTCATGTTATTTGGTGTTATGTTAAGAGATGTTATCATGGCAATGGGAAGCAACGTGAGAATTAACCAATCAAAAACTATTATTTCACACACTCTTTCTAACTCTCTTTGTATCTCTTAACATGTTATAATATGTTATAACATTTGCACACCATTTCCTACATAAATCAAATGGTGTTAAAGATGAAATGACATGTGAATTGGCAAATTTTGGGTATGATAACATGTCTTAACACGTTGCTCATACCAGGAAAAGAAGTAGGCCATTAAAAGTTGGGTGTCAAGCGTTTTAACCATCTACCTGGCCTGATACTTATTGTTTTTATTCTCAAAATTTGTTATATATAGAGTATCGGGAAAAAAAAATCAGACCCCTAAACAACACGCTCTATACGGCCGCACATCCTGCATGTGCTTAGGGCTGGTCCTGGCTGCATGTATAGGTGTAACCCTAGCTTGATAACATATTGGACAATAGAATCCCCGCATGAAGAAAGAAAGTTGTATTATCAGAGAGATTGTTTGAATCACTTAAGCTACCATTTATGTTGCAGCTACCAAGCAAGGAATGCTCTGGTACACATTGTTTATTATAGTTAGTTGTTTAATATTTGGTTAAAGCTAGTTGTGTATCAGAGAGATTGTTTGAAGAATATGGATGTAAAGAGGGGGAATAGGACAGAGTTTGGTGAGCAAAACAAATATCTTAAAAATTACAAGTATTATTATATGAGAGCAATTGGAATTGATGTTGAGATGTAGACAATGAACACTAGTTTTTTGTCAATTAAAGAACATAAACATTGATAATGTAGGTCCAACCTTTTCTGTTTTTTTTTAATATAATCATCATACTCGTGAAAGTATTAATAAATATTAAGAAGATTTTTATTTTGTTATCTAGCAGAAATGGTCCATGTGGTTCTAAATCTTTGCTTTTGGCAAATAGGAACCTTTTTGGCTCTTATTAGGGGGTTTTGTTTTTCTGATGGTACATGAGGTTAACACGGTTAGCTTAAATACATTAGATCATTGTGAAATGAATTTTAAATATATAGTCATGCAAAATGACTAAAGTGTCATTATCTAATTCTTTTAAACAACATGCCACCCCAAGGAACAACTTAATTTTGGAGTGATTAATCTCAAGTGATCTGATCACCACTGTTTATTAAAGTTATTTGTAGCAAATCAGCTGCATGTATACACACTGTTTATTAAAGTTAGTTGTTTAATATTTGGTTAATTGTAGATCCATTGAAGACCCAGGTTCCGATAGTGATCAAGTTATGGCATGGGGGACCTCAAGTTCTAATGGTAAATAAATTTCTTGTTACTTTACAAATATTGAATGAGTAATTCATGTCATAATGACAAATAAATTTCAACTCTTTTGGTTTTGAAGAGTAATGGACTTCTTGGTGGAGATGTTCTATAACTTATACAACATCAAGATTGATCCATGCAACAAGCTTGCAATCCACCTAATAATCCTTAGATTATTGTTGTAAACACCATTACCGTTTAAAACAATTATATTATTTTATGTTTAGACATTTATATTATGTTTGTTTTTAAACCTTTGTTTAGAAGTTGTGTTGTAATGGATAATATTTTGGATATATGTTTATTGTGTTTGTATATAAACTTCAAACATAATTTGGTCATTTGAATTAGATTTTTTTCAACATTTTGGGCAGAAAAAATCTGGTTTATTGTGTTTATTTATTATTTTTTTTTATAATTCATGTTTCCTCGGAAATGCCTAGGAAAATCCATTATAAAAGTGTCACTAAAAAACTGTTGCGAATACTGTTAGAATAAATACTTCCTAGGAAATTCCTCATAAAAGTATTGTACAAGGAAATGTCTCGGAAATATATTTCCTAAGAAACTCCTTGGAAATAAATTTCCTTGGAAATTTCTCGGAAATGTATATCCTAGAAAATTCCTCGGAAAAATATTTCCTAAGAAATTCCTCGGAAATGTATTTTCTAGGAAACTTCTCGGAAAAATATAGCCTTGGAAATTCCTCAGAACAACCAACAAAACATATTTCCTCGGAAATGCCTCGAAAATTTCCTCGGAAATCCCTTACAAAAAGTTTCCTAGGAGGGTTTTACCTACGCACAACTTTTCCTCGGTATTTCCTCGGAAACAGCGGTTTCCTAGGAATTTCCGAGGAAATTGTCCCTCGGAAAAGGCGTGTTTTTTTAGTAGTGAGAAAACAAGGATAGGAAAACGATAATGGAGAGAAGTATAATTAATAAGTTAAAACGACATATTTTAGAGGTTTAATACCTAAGTTTAGGTGGGGTTGTAATGTATATTCTATATCCCCTATATATATATATATATATATATATATATATATATTATATATATATATTATATATATATTTTATATATACATATATATATATATATATATATTATAAACCCTTAAACAACACGTCATTGTACGGCCGCACATCCTGCATGTGCTTAGGGCCGGTCCTGGCTGCATGTATAGGTGGAACCCTAGCTTGATAGCATGTTGGATAATAGAATCACAACAAAAAAAATTTCACTAAAAACTTATAAACGCTTTGGCATTAAAGTATACAAATGACCTTATTTATTAGAGGCTTCGGTAAACATCCTGACAATCCACCAAATGGATCTTAGTTTATTGTTTTAAATATGTGTATGTTTTTAGTTATAAGTTATTTATATTGTGTTTGGCGGAACATGGAATCGAATCTTTTGGTGTATGTTAGTTGGTTTACATAATTATAAACAAAAACTAATATAAAAATTATGTAAAAAAATCTTATATATAGATTTAGGTTGTGTTTGACGCATCACAGTTAGCTGATAAACTAACTTATTTTTCGAGTTTTTTTATGTTGTCGTATTTGGTAAGACAAAAAGTAGCTTATAAACTAACTTTTTGAAAAACTACTTAGACTAGCTTTTTTGGAGCTTTTTTAAAATTTTCCAAATACATCTCTTAATTAATTATAGAAACACATTCTCTTACATGTCCTTTTATGTAATTTTATATATTTCAGCTAGTTTTACCAAACGTTATTTTTTATCAGCTAGCTTTTTATTTAACAACTAGCTTTTCAGCCATCAGTTAATTTTTCAGCTATCAGCTAGCTTTTTATTTAACAACTAGCTTTTCAGCCATCAGCTAGTTTTTCAGCTAACAGCTAGATATTCAGCTAGTCCGCCTAAGATAGCCAAAGTTGAAGATTCCATGTTTGGAGATGGAAGTTAATAAATGGAAGGAATTAACGATCACACAATTAAATCAAAACTAAAGTGATGTATCAGAGGATTAATGGTGTAATATATAGTAGTAATCCATAATTATAAAATACCCGTCAAACTATCACATAAAACATAAATCTCAAGAGCAAACCTATAACTCAAACAAAGATACTAATTAAACACGTCAAATTGTTCCAGGAAAGCATGCTCAAAGATTAAGTGGACAACTTACATGCAGTATATTACTTGAACTCCCATTATGAACAACGACTAAACAAGAAATCGTACTCGATTGGATTGTTCAAAGCCCTAACTCTTCATCCCCCACAACATGTTTCTCTAATGGCCTGTACATGTAAAACATAACCATACAGAACACAAGATTGCCGGTTTCCTTTGCCGCATCAATCATCCATGGCCACTTGTCAACAACAAGGGGAGCCAGTCCAAAAACAACAATAACTCTCGTAAAAAACACGTATCCAAAAGCCGCCAACACAAATAGACGCAACTTTTCCAAATCCCTAGCAGCACTCCCATCAGTCTCATGAGCCTCCCTCAACGAGATAATCGATGAGTACATGGAGAACATAATAACGCAAGAGCCGTAATCGGACAAGAAAAAAACTGCCTTCCACTTCCAATAGTCGTAACCGTAATGGCTGGTTTCCCCTGCCTTTATAGAAGCTACATTACCTATAACCTGAAGTAGGATCACATCCATCAAAATCATCAAAATCAACGTATCCATTCCTTTCCAAAACGGCTTCCACAAACACCTTCCGATGCCAATCAACATAATGACAGTGAAGAAAAGACCATTCCTGATAAGCTGAAACATGTAAAATATGACATCCCATCCATGAGGATGAGGAGTGCCTGCAACCTTCACATAATGTTGCTCAGCAGCAGCACAGATAAAGTGAGCGGAAGTTATAACAAGCAACAAGGCCATTAGTAAATGCATTCTGTAAACATATCGCACTTTCTTGAAGCATACCATAATCCAAAACCCTAAAAAACACAAATAAATAAGGGGAAAAAATTAAGTAAAGAGACCGCAACTGCGTTAGCCCGGCTGATAAATAGTCTTTGGTAGTGGCGTGATCGATGTTGTAGAGCTTTGTTCGTACATCCATAGTCACGAGGGTTTGGCGGTTGCAATTGATGAAGTAGAGAGAGGTAATGTAATGCCTTGACGTTTCCATTGATAATTGGCCCTATTTATATACAAGGTTTCCTGGTATAATACGATGACTTGGCCACTAAGCAACATTGATACGATATAAGGAAACTTTTGGGATATATAATTACAATATCTCTAATAAATAAACAGGACGACAAACTAAATCCATGCAACATTGATACAATATACCGAAACTTTTGGGATAATCACTACAAGAGTAACCGCCAATACCAACGACACCTTATTATGCATGATCGAATAGTACAGAAAGCATTTCTTAATGCGATCAAAATGATTAATTGATGCGGTATTGAACCGCAACAAAAAATATCACATCAAAAAACTACCCTTATTTAAAGGTGCGATTCCAAAACCACACCAAAAAATAGCCAAAACCGTACCAAAAAATAGCAAAAAATAGCCAAAATTACACCAAAAAATAGTCAATACCGCCTAAAAAAATAGCTAGCTAAAACCGCACCAATTAACAGGTTCTTCATTGATGCACACGCTACTTATGAAGCTTCATTTTCTTGTATTTAGGCATGTTCGGTGAGTGTTTTTCAATCAATGGTTCAATCGTAATATCTTAATCTGGTTTAAGAACTTTCTACCTATGATTCCATCAACTTCTTTTTCCTCAACTGTAGGTCCATTAGAGGTTCCAATTGTTCATTCTTTGATTTTACTTTCTTCAAAAAGAGTGGTTTCAATCTCTATAATTTCTTTTTCTCTACCAATTAAAAATCTGTTCTTGGGAAATCACATTTCATCGACATTGTTTTAAATTTCTTTTTTGATAACATCTTAAAACTCACTCTGCAAAAACTAGCTAAATACTTGATGATTGAAAGTCACTGAAGCAACATCACAAGTCTTTGGATCTTTTGTTGGAGATATATTATGGAAGAAGAAGCTTTTGTAGAGATTCAGAACAAGAAAACATCGTTAAAGCTTAAAATAGGACATTCATTTACAATTAATAAAGGAAAAATAGAATCTCATATGCCATTAATGAAAAGAAGATAAATAATGAACATACCTCACTTGCGTTTTCAAACATAAAATCGACAAATCTATAATTATGAAAAGAGGCTGCATCTCCAACATTATATAAAAGAGAGAAGATTGAATGAAATTTTTGAAAAACATGAAAATTTTGAACGAAATTTAGAGCGATCCCGCGCGAGATGAAACATTCGAATGAAATTTTTAGAGGAAATATTAATGGTGCGGTTCAATGTTTTTTAGTGTGAATTGTTTTTTGGTGCAGTTCAATGTTTTTAGTGCAAATTATTTTTTGGGGAGGTTGTAATTGTTTTTTGTTACGGTTTCCACATGATTTTTTGGTGCAGTTTTGTGAATCTGCATCGGAAAATGCTTTAATGGTGCGATTTTGGGAAAATGCACTAACAAAGCTATTTTATGGTGCACTTCTCTTATTTTTTGATGTTGTGAATATTTAATAAGGCAGTTTTTAGAAGGGACTGTATCAAAAAAAACGCTCGCACTATTAAATGACTTGTGTACTTGTGCCTGTTGGACTCTATTGATGAGCTCCACAACATCTGACGAAAGAAACCAAAAGTATCAAACACGAAAGGTATAATGACAAACTAGGTACAAAAACCATGTTTTTCAACGGTGAAAACTTGGGATAGTTAAAATATCTCTATTTATTCAAAGTCTCTATAGCCGGTCATACTTTTGGAAGAAAGTAGCGATCTAAGGTTATCATGAGTTATTAGTAGATTGTCCATGAAGATGGGCATTGCATGGAGACGGCTAATTATCATGTATTTTTAAATTTGAACTTGTACTTGGATACTGCTGCACAACTGAAACTTAAAATATAGAAATATTATATATATATCTATATATATATATATATAGAGAGAGAGAGAGAGGGAGAGAGAGAGAGAGATGAGGGTTCAATTGAGAATGAGGGAATCATTCTCAGCCACACATTTATTTTGCCGCAAAACACTTAGACGTATCGACGGAAATGGATAACGGATACACATGTATTTTCCAACCAAACATGTTTCCTTAAACTATGCTAATCATTACCTTAATATACATAAAAATATTTTTTTTTGTTTTTTTATTTTTAGAAAGCTATTTTTATTAATAAATTTTATTTTAAATATATCAAAATTCATAATTTTTTATTATCTATAAATAGACATCAATATTGATATAGTTTTAAGATAAAATAAAAAATTTATTTTTTTAGAGTTTCAGCTCTTGTTATTCATAAGTGAATAAGAATCGATTAGATTTTTATAACAGTATATTCGTTATTCATTTATGAATAAAACGTATGCTTAAATTTTTTAAAGTTTAAGTATCATTCATATATAAATACAACACCTACTATAACTTTTTTACCTAAAATATATTTTTTTTACATCATCTTTCGTCACATGTTATATTCAGATATGAATCAAATGTGTATTAATGGTTATCATATGTTATATTCATATATAAATAAAAAATTTGTCAGATTTTTAGTTCATTTGTTATTCGAATATGAATTAGCATGTTTATAAAAGAAGACTTGTTTTAAAATTTTGAACTACTTATTTATATATGAATAAAAAAAAGAATTGTAACAAAATTATAAATAAATGTGTTTTTCATATCTATCTATCTATATCTATATCTATATATCTTATAAAGCTAGCATTTTTCCTTGAACCTCATGCATTTGAAACTCCTAAGACCATTTTTTCTTGAACCTCATGCATTTGAAACTCCCAAGACTATTTAACTTATACAAATTAATTTTTGATTAATTGAAATATTATGATTTGTAACTCTTAAAACTCTTCAAATCATGCTATTTAATTGATGAGTTAAATGAAATATTTAGCCTATATAAGAAATTTGTAGATTACATATTGCATGTATGTCAACACAAAATGATAGATTATATTTGTAGGGTTTGAAGAGTTGTAGGATTGGTTCCATGGATGCAAGAAAGCAATTGCAACTTTTCCAAATATAAATTCATGTAAACTGAACTTGGGTGCATGTAAAATTTTAGATATTAACCAAGGTTTAAATTTAGGTATTTTTGTAAATGTATACTTGAGATCATTTTTTAAGTTTATATGTTATGCATCTTTGTATGATCACATGATGATGAAGTGGGATTGATAATTACTTCTCATGAGCTTTTGGTTAATCAACCATCAAGCTATTTATAAGTTAGAGCAATTAAATTTGTTAACATGTATATATATATATATATATATATATATATATATTATATAT